GTCTCCTATCATTCAGGAGGAAAGAACTGTTTCCAAAATGCATATGGGAAATCAGAAAAGTGAAATTTGAACTAGCCATGATATAAAAAGAACCTCCCTTAAAAAATGAACTTTTATCTGCAATCCTACCCACACTAAGTAATAAACCTAATTGAGCTCAATGAGACTTACCTCTGAGATGTGCTTTTTTTCTAAAAAAATGTTTAGGGGTACTCTCATTTTCCTACTCATATTGAAATACTGCCCCTCAATGAGGCCAAACTTAGATTCACAAAATGTTTAGGGGTATGGGTACCCCTGCGTACCCCCAGAAAAAAAGCACTGCCTCTGAGTAGTATGTGCAGGATCACACAGTTAATAATGCAAGACTTTAGCTTCCTTTTTTACATTACTGAAAAGAAATTTCCCTTATTTCTAACACAAACAGTGAAGAAATACACTGCAAGTTTTAATTAGGCTGGTGTCTATCTTTCGCACGACTGATTTCTCACACTTTCAATTACAAAGCACCTACGAAGTGTTATATTCAGTACATGCTACTAAAATAAGGTGATTGTGGATTGCTAATTTTCCATTTTAAAAGCTGACAGTGGGTTTACTTTCTAACTTCATAGTTCAAAAATCCCAGCCCTTCATGTGCAATTTACAAGTTCCTTTTCATTGTAACACCAGAATATATTACTAAAACAGTGCAATGTCTACTCAGAATTAAGTCCCACTGAGTTCAATGGGACTTTCTCCCAGGCAAGAAGGTATAGGATTGCAGCCCAACACAATCTAAAACTAACATGAAATTACTTTTTCAGAGATACTACTGAATGCCCTACCTCGGGTGCACAGATTTATCTAACAGCCGCTGTAGCTTCTTTCCCAGTTAAATGAACACTCCCTGACAATTCTAAGATTTGCTATAACAAGCTTAACTGAGGCCTGAAACCTTGTGCATAAAAGAGATTGGAAATTAAATACGATTATATTTAAACTCTTCACAGAGCTGTGTCCAATGTTTCAGCTCATCATCACTAAAATGTCTCAAATACCTACAGAAACTACTATCATATAACTCCCGGTGACCTGAAACGGTGAAGGTGTGAGTGTCCTCCTCACCTGCCTCCCTTCCCTCAACCCAAATTTTCTCACACCCTCTCCTTTTTGGAGGATCCCTGGTAGGAACAAAAATGCAGATTGAGGGAGAAGGCAGTGAGAATGTCCTATGGACAATGGAGAATTAATGGAGGCAACAGGAAGCTTACTATCCACACCAGTGCCGGATTTACGTATAAGCTAAACAAGCTATAGCTTAGGGTCCCCTCTCTTGGGGGCCCCCAAAAAATTTAATGAAAAAAAACCTGGATGTAAATTTCCAAAATATAAGATAAAAAACAAATAAAATAAAACCTACATACAGCAACAGTGTTTTGTGTTGTGTAGGCTCCTATGTAGTAGGCCCCGCCTGCTAGCCTGCTCCCTAAAATAAGGTTACCAGACGTCCCTGTTTCCTGGGGACAGTCCCCAGATTTACAAATTAGTCCCCTGACAAAATTCATCTGCACTGGTACCTCTAGTTGCAAACACAATCCGTTCCAGGGTGCCGTTCGCACCCCAAAAAGTCCGCAACTAGAGTGGCGCTTCTGAGCATGCGTGGAGCGCGATAGAGCACTTCTGCGCATGTGTGAAGCGCGCAGAACGCTTCTGCACACACATGCAGCGTTCGCAAGCCGAAAAAACGCAACATGAACCTAACGCAACACGAGGTATGACTGTATTTAGTAGGAAGTTGAAAAGGGTCCCCGGATTCATTGAAAAAAATCTGGTACCCTTACCCTAAAATATCACTGGTTTGCTCATTTCTATATATAGGGTGCCTACATTCTGCATGTGCAAATGGCTTTAGATACCTTTTAGGTCCATAAATTACCATATATTCAACACAAAACCAGTGACAATTTGTTGTTGACAAAGGACAGCTGGACATATAAAGGGCCCAGTTACCTTCAGTAGCTTAGGGCCTCATCAAACCTAAATCCGGCCCTGATCCACATTAAGCAGTTATGGATGAGCTCTTGATGCTGCTACCTGTGAAAGCAGCCTATATTGTGACAAACTGGCAGATGAGGAGGACTGGCACTGCCAAAGACCCCACTATGAATAGCCAGTCCCCTAAATGGAGGTGGCACAACCTCTCAACAGAATTCCTTGTCCGAGAGGCTCACCAGGCCACCTGACTGTGCCCTTTCCTGGGCGCATACAGGCAACGACCTGCGTTGTGCCTTAAAGAGAGAAGCCACCCGCCCTCGCCCTCGCGCTGACAACGCCACTAACCGGCCTCCACTGCCGCCTCGGCTTCCTTTCGTACACCGACGCCAAGGGGCTACGGGCTGCACGCGTCTCTCGCGAAACTTCCGGTTCCCGGTGGCCTTTCTCAGAAGCCATATGCGGGGAGGAAAGACGTCGGAAATTAACGGTGCTTTAAAATAACTGGACCCTTTACGAGATGGGAGGTACGATATACGCTGTAAAATAAAAGGGTGCTGGCGTTTTATTTCAGCCTCGGCGTGAGCGCTCCCCTCTTCTACGCCTCACAGAAATCCCGGAGAGAGAAGTAAATTGTGAGAAAGGTTTTGCCTACAGGATTTCAAAGTAATGTAACCTATACGCTCCCCTTTGGTTTCAGTGCAGGTCATACGCCGCTCCAAAAACAGAGAAGCCAACAACAAGCGATCCAGGGTTAAAATTATATGGGGTGGAACAGGAACCCCATGTTGGCATTCAGAAATGCGGGACAGCCAGGCATTCAACAGGTACCCAGCCACGCAAATTTAGGGGTAGGGTAGTATTTCTGCATCTTGTGCAGCCTTGGGAAGGAGCACTTTGGACTATTGCAATGCCCTCTACGTGGGGCCACATTTGAAGGTGACTAGGAAACTACAACTAATCCAGAACGCGGCAGACTGGGAGCGGATGCCGGGACCATATAACACCAGTCCTAAAGGATCTACACTGGCTCCCAGTACATTTCCAAGCACAATTCAAAGTGTGGGTGCTGACCTATAATGCCCTAAATAGCTTTGGCCCACCAAAACTGTTGAGCTTTTTTTGCCTGGGTTTTTCCTGGCATTTTGCCCCCCTAACGCCCTTTTTACACCCGAAAACCGGAACATGTCAGGAATTTTCCTGATGTGTGGCACGCCTAAGCAGACACTGAGGTCCAGCGCTGAGGGCCTTTTGGCGGTTCCCTCACTGCGAGATGTGAGGTTACAGGGAACCAGGCAGAGGGCCATCTCGGTACAGTAGTGGCGCCCAGCCATCCGATGCATAGCTGTCAACTTTCAGATTTGAAAATAAGGGATCAGCAGCCTCACCTGTCCCAGGGACAGTCTATGGGATATCTAACAATCCGGGCTAGCAGCGGGAAGCAGCGGGAAATGGCGCTGGAATAAGGGAATTTCCCACAAAAAAAGGGAAGGTTGACAGCTATGATCAGATGTCAAGGAAATAAGCAACTATCTGACTTTTAGAAGACATCTGAAGGCAGCCCTGTTTAGGGAATGTTTGATCATGTTTTTAATATTCTGTTGGGAGCCGCCCAGAGTGGCTGGGGCATCCTAGTCAGATGGGCAGCATATTATTATTATTATTATTATTACAAACCTTTCCCTGGTTCAAGCCCAACTCTGGATCTGTAATGCCAACACATTAGGCCAACACATTTCTGGCGATCCCTTGAACCCGCTGACAGGGCACAGCATCAAACACCCCACTCATGTGTATTCCAAAGTAAGCACCACAGGGCTTGACAGGGCTGGGCTTACTCCCAGGTAAGCATGTGGAGGATTACAGCCACACAGCCCAATTCTATGCATATATTTACATGCAAGGAACATCCGTCCAGTTTAATTGAGCTTGTTCCCTGGAAAAGCATGTTTAACAGTCCATGTGAGCCAATTTGGTGTAGCGGTTAGACTGTTAATTAGGCATAGGACCTGGGAGAGCAGAATTCAAATCCCACCTCAGTCATGAAGCATAGCAAGTGTCTTTGGACCAGCCACTGCCTCTCGACCTAAACCACCTTGCAAGGATGCTGTGCGGATGAAAGGGGGGGGGGGAGAGAAGCATGCATGACTCCTTATAGAGAATAGAAGTATCATCGTATATAAATAGATGGATACTCAGAAGACAGCTGTGAGCAGACACAGGGCTGCAGCCTTCCGCGGCCAAGTGAGGCCCGCTATGTTGGATGGGGCTTACTCCCTAAGCAATTGCAGCAACAGGAACTGGCACTTCTGCCCCTATTTAAGACCATCTCTGTGGGGTTAGACCAAAGGCTCCTCTGTTCTCACAGGGCTCAACAAGATGCCCCCAGGAAGCCCCCAAACAGGACCTGAGTGCAGCAAGGACCTTCCCTCCCCACTTGGGAGTCTCATCAACCAGCATTTAGAGGCATACAGCCTCCTCCGACAGTGGACATGGAAAATAGCCGCCGTGGCTAGTGGCCACCGATTTGACCAGCATTCATAGAATCATAGAACTGTATAGTTGGAGGGGACCCTGTGGGTCATCTAGTCCAACCCCTTGCAATGGAGGAATCCAGCACCATTCCAGAAGCTGAGAAGAGGAAGGAGCCCAAATCACGATTTATGCTTCAAGTCTCGTTGATAAAACAACTCTTAATTTCTCTGCTGCCTCCCTGCCCAGCTTCCTCCTCTCACCACTAGGCCGGCTGCCTTCTGACAGGCAGCGAGGGAAGCAATTTCACGAAGGGAAATACAAAATCACGCCCCCCCTTCCTTCCCGAGTAGAGTATAATTCTGCCAAAGCACTGGAACGGAAAAGCACCTCTCTCTCTCTTTGCCCCAAAGTTTTACTACAATCCCCGTTTACTTCCTTTGCGCGGAATGCAACGGCGTCTAATGGCAGCCTGAAGTGAGCGCTGCGTGGAGCGCTTTCATTAATAAGCTATCTCTTTGCGAAAACGCCGGCGCCGCTTGGGAAAAGCGTGGAGAGAGAGAGCGCCGCGTACGCCATCCCGCCCGCAAGCCCGTTAGGATTTCTGCGGCGTCCTTTTTTTCTTATCTCTATGGTTCTTCCCGGACCGAGAAAGTGCGGGACTCGACCACGTGACCTCCCGCGGCCGGAGTCTCTTCCTCGAAGTTGGCGCCGCCCTCGCCGTGGAATAGAGGCGGAGCCGAGGAAGCCTCGAAGCGTAGAATGAATGGCAGAGCTGGAAGGGAGGGACCCCGAGGGGTCATCTAGTCCAACCCCCTGCAATGCAGGAATCTCAGCTAGATCATAGGATCGTAGATGCAGACGAGGAGGAGAATGGCAAAGAGAACTTGCGCAGGACAGGCTGGTAATACACGCAACTTGCGCAACTTTGAAGCCTCCTCATTTGCTGCCGCAGTAAGAGCACAAGGCCATCTCACGTGAGGCTTTCCGCGTGCGTATTGTTTGTTTCTCGTTTATTTCATGCAGTTGACACTGAGGGGTCTCTGCTACAACTTATACCGCCCCATAAATCTTTTTCATCTTCTATATGTTTCATACCCCTCTTAATTTCTCACTGCGGGTTTTCTCTCCAATTGAAATGAAAGAGAAATATTCATATTTCTTCCATCCTTGATTAATCCTTGATTAAAACCAATGTTGTCTACTGTTGTCATTCTTTAATACCAATTGTACCCTATAGTTAATGTTCGCAAATAATCAAACTTCATGCTAATTTGCTTCTTTTTCTGTCAAAAGGCAAACTTTTTTATGTCTTCTTTCTGTCTGCTAATTGCTAAGGCAGGGGACGTGGGGCAATACTATTAAAACTATAGGTGTCTCCTTAAATGTTCAATGAAATTGTTTTTAAAGATTTGTTTAAATGTCCCTCCCCTTTTCATCATCATCAACAACAACAATACTACCCTATTTTTGCTTCTGCTGCTTCTTTTTTATTGGGAATCTTTTCTCTGTGTCTCTTTCTTGGAGTTGGGCTTTAAAAAGATGGTTTCCTAGCAGCAGAATGCAGAAGGCCCATTCATATTACAATGGGCAGAGAGGAAAGAAAGAGGCTGGTTTGTTTAAACTGCTTCTGTCTTCATTCACAGCCTGATATCCATGGGCATTGTGCCGGCTACAATAGAACTAAAGGACGTATTGTGGCCGAAAACAAATCAAAACAGAAGAAGCAATGATCAGAGAAAAGAGTCATGCAACAAAATTGTCCCCAAAATCGAAGTCTTACATCTGAGATTTATGTTACCTTTTTGCTGCTTGGCCTATTGACTAGTGTTTCGAATAACCACTAGAGTTTAATAAACAAAGCCTCACATGGGAACTTTCATGATCATTTGCAAAAGGCAGAAAAGATGCAGCCAGGGTAGTGGGGTTTTTTTTGTTCCTTTATCATTGTCCTCCTGGCCTTCAGGAGTTTTGCGTGGAAGAAGGGCACCGGTGGCTTTTCTTCAGCAGTGAGTCACATATGCTAAGTTTACAAAAAAAAATATTAAATGGTTTGGGGCCTAAAATATGCCCTCTTTCTCTCTCACGGACACATATATATGCACCATAAGTCTGGATGATGAGCTCCTCTCTGAAGTTCTCTGGCGATCACATGACCTACTTCAATCCGATAGGCAACAGGTGGAAGCTTGAATAACTTCACATATTTTTTCCGGGGGGGAGGGAGGAGGGAAGGGGGCTCAATGGGGAGCCAATTGGAGGATTAGATCAGATGTTATTGCCAGTGGAAAAAATTAAACAGAGCAGTGCTCTGGGGAACACAGATTAATATATTTAGTGACTTTGCGTACACAAAGGCTTACCATTGTAACCACGTCTGAATGCCTGTGAATAGGATGGAACATATGCAGCCTGCCACCGCAGGTGCCCACATCTGTTATTCCCCAGGCAGATGCTCGCAGGGGGAAAAGGGGGAGCCCAGTTCAAAAGTAGGAGATCTGCCTCATCCCCAAACTCTTCTTTCACAACCACTTTCTGGAAAATGCTTGCTTTAAGTAAAATGCGTGGGGGGTGGGGAGAGATAAGAAGGAAGCGCTTAATAGGAAATAATATATTTGAAACAGAATAGAGCTGCGCAAGAGACAGAAGGAAAAGAGACACGGCAGATAATAAGCAGCAAATACGTGGCTTTTTCTAATGCTGCAATGCTGCATTCGCTTATTTTGCAAACAGTTCCACTGGGCTCTGCAGGACTTGCTTTCAAGCAAATCTATTTAGGATTGAGGTGTTTTGAACTGCCGATTAAATCCAAGGCCTAAAAAGAGCTGATACAAAATTTGAATGGTGGTTAACCATAGTAATACAGTAAACATACCGTATTTTTCCATGTATAAGACTAGGGTTTTTTTTTTTACCAAAACTTAGGTTGAAAATTGGGGCTCATCTTATACACAGGTGCTGAGGGGTGTTTTCTTAATTTGGAGTCCCCCGAAATAGGGGGTGTCTTATACATGGGGGCATCTTATACACTAAAAAATACGGCACTTTGGAATGCAATTGATAATTGGCGTTTCAAGGCAGATGTCTAGCTGGAAATGAGACGGAGACATTTTATTACTTAATAAAATATTCCTAGACATTTTACTTACTAAAAAATTTATGTACTGCTTTTGACATATGTACTGAAGTAGTGTACATAAACTACACTGAAGTGTTTTTTGTCAGCGGCAAATGTTAATATTAAATCTTTAGATGGAATTATATGGCAAACAGAGCATGTAACCCCTGTCTCATTCATCCTTATTAGGGTGTCTGGGGTGTATTACTTTATGGTGTCAGGATTCAAGCCCCAACCTGCAACCTCTTGTACAGATACAGGGGTAATAGCGGCAGTTACTTTTGAAAGAGAGGAACTCTGCACATGCTTGGAGGAATATTGCCGTGTTCTACGTACCAACAACAGGCCCCAGAGCCAAATTAAGAGACTTGTGCCCACATTATTTTAAAGTAAGCGTCACTGAGTTCAAGTGAGGTTCACTTCCAGGTAATCAAGGATAGGAGCCAACTGCATTGTTTGTTTAGTTATTTATTTGAAATATTTAAATTTACCTAGTGACTGAAGTTCTCAAGGCTGTTTACAATGCATTGAAGATACAATGAAACAGGCAGTCAGCATATTAAGAGTCCTGGGCACTGGACTGGCTAGTGCCTTGTTTGCTTCCAGGGAAAAGGCACATGTTGGGCAAAAATATTGCTGCTTAATAGCCTGGTTCTTTCCTTGAAAGTCCTGTTGGACAAGCGGCCACTTCTGAGTCAACATGCATAGAGGATTTGGCTGAAGCACATAGCTGAAATGATGGAATTGGCTACTGCAAGTTGTAGTAATGACCTGCGGGGAAAGCACTGTTCCACTCCTTTCCCCCCTCTCCCCCCTCCCAGGCATTGGGCTGGCCACTATGAGAACAGAGTGCTGGACCCTTGAACTGCTCCAGCAGGGCTCTTTTGATGTTCTTCTGTTCTACTGGATATAATGGGACTTGCTTCTAAGCCAGTGGTTAAGATAACAGTCTTCCTTGCAGAGCATCAATTGCATCCCCCACCCCACTGTTCTGAGCCACGAAGGCCGCTGCAAAGAAACCATCTCTGTCCACCCATTAAAAGTCCTAAGCATGCAGCAGGCACTGTGTTCTCAGTCCAGCCACCATGTACTGCTTTTCTGCATGGGTGTAAGGATCAGGCCCAACCTCACGGCACCACTTAACACAGCCCATGACATCACTCCATTCTCTCTAGGTAATGAATGGCTGGTCCTTTTGTTGTTCTAATCCTGTTCTCTTTGCCTTATGCAAAACTGGTTAGTTTTGTTTTGCATCCAGGGTGGAAAAGGGCAGTTCCAATATTGCCTTGCTCTACAGCCACAATAGCCAGCTTCACACCGTTTAAATGTGGCACCAAAGAGGAACGTTTAGTGGGAAACAGAAATACGTCAGGACAGCAAAAGGATTTAAGTGTTTGGAAACTTGTGCAGATCCGTTTCAGAGTAAACGAGACTAAAATTATTTGTTGGAGGGAGTTTTGCAAAATGGGTTTTTTACTTTTACTTAGACCTTATGTCCTGATCCTAAGCATCTTGGAAGAGAATTGATCCTTGTTTCAACCACTTACTTTTGGGATAGGGCCTTGTTGTGGGTACATTTTTACGTGCCCATACTTAGAATATAATTTGTAATGCATATTCAATAAGGTGTCTTGAATAGTCTGCCTTTTAAAAAAATGTAACACAAATGTAAAACCAACATGGTCTAGAATGTCGGTTCGTTGACAAACGTTTTTCTGCCTTTTATCTCACTTTAACAATATTCACATGTGCCTGAGAGTACCTTCAGGTAGGCTCAAAGGCGCTTTGGTGTCAAGTGTGAAAATTCCTTTGGTATTTTTGCTTGAACAAACCAAAGGCATTTTCACACATGACACCCTAAAAATTGCTTTTGAGTTCCTTTCACTATTTGTGCGCATATTGTTAATGCAGGACAGAAAGCAAAAGATGGACCATTTAAATTATATGTTGCCTTGTTGAAAAAACAATCAAAATTATATCTATATATTTTTATATAATATGTGTTTGTGTTTGTGTATGCCTATTTGTGTGTATATCATGTAGCCACTGTAGGTTTAACATTCACATTGCAAAGATGGGAAATGCAAAAAAAGTAACTTTTGTCCTTTCGTATGACTTGCATGAAAGTACATTATTGCTTTCCAGGAATTAAACTCAGGATTGAATTTAGTAACATTTTTTAAAAATGGCTTATAAATTTCTTCCTATGTCCTTTGTTTATGTGTATTTCAAAGGTGTGGTAATCAAGACAATTGGCTGTGGATTACTTATCCTTTAATAACAGCCTCTTGTGGCTTTTCCCTTCTATAAGATGACAAGTACCGTATGTGAAAGGGGCCAAGGCTGAATATTTGACCATCCTGATCATGAATTGGAGAGGAGGTTAAGACAGGATGAACTGGAAGGTAACCAGTCTGCATTCAGTGACATTGAATATGCATCTTGGTTACTGCATGATAAGAAATCCAGAGTAAACGATACGGCGATACAACACCTGCCTCAAAGCCCCACCTTTTCATTGTGACAGGTCAGAGGAAGGATTATTTATGACTACTTGGTGGTGAACAAAATGCACTCTGCACACACTAGGATTACAGTGGTACCTCAGGTTAAGTACTTAATTCGTTCCGGAGGTTCGTACTTAACCTGAAACTGTTCTTAACCTGAAGCACCACTTTAGCTAATGGGGCCTCCTGCTGCTGCCGTGCCGCCGGAGCACAATTTCTGTTCTCATCCTGAAGCAAAGTTCTTAACCTGAAGCACTATTTCTGGGTTAGCGGAGTCTGTAACCTGAAGCATATGTAACCTGAAGTGTCTGTAACCCGAGGTACCACTGTACTTCCTCTCTCATCAGAATACTGAGGCCTAACTTGAAGGACGGGTTCCACTAGCTAGAATCCATGCCTGTGTTCACACATGCTTATTTCTCACTGCTTTGCACGAAGTGGTGGACTGAGAGGACAGATGTTGTGTCTTGTCCCATGAATTGTCCCAGAGCTGATGGCCTGCTTTTTGTTCTTTTAAAATGACTCCACAAACCCCCTCCACTAACTAAACTCAACCCTCCTTTCTGATGTGATAGCTTAGGATACTCAGGAGATACTTGATGCTCAGGCGAATCCCGAAATAATAATAAAAGAAGCCACTCCCGCCCGCGCCTGCAATCTGAAATGCTACAGCTCAGAATTCTATCGCTGCCTAACGCGTGGGAGGGCGCCCATCCTGCCCTCCCGGCGCAGTTCTTCGTGACCCAATGGGCTCCGTTCATGCTTCCCCGGAGCGAAGGTTTCCTCTCCCCACCCACGCGGGAGGGGGGGGAGAAGCGATGCGCGCGCATCCCGCGGGGATCAGCTCTAAACCTTTGGTCGTGTGGATGCTGTAATTCAGGGACGTCGTCCTAGACACGTGTCTCTCAATTTCTTTTGGCGACCCTGCGGGGAAATCTTACGTTGGGGAGCTATGGGCTCCCTCGTTCTCTCTCTCTCTCTCTCTCTCTCTCTCTCTCTCTCTAATCTCCTCGGCCCATCGCGGCTGGCTTTATTTGCACTAAGGCCCCGGCAGATGTTCCATGGGCAGACATCGGCACGCGACTGACCTCAGCCCCTCGCAAGAAT